TCGATATTACAATTTCTCGTGGTAATCTTCATACCAAACTTCAAGACAAATGAAACTACCTTCTCCTTTCGCGTATTGTCCAGAGGCTTTGCCTTTTCATAATAAAAGTCGGTAAAAATGCAAATTGCAGTTTGAATTAATCTATTCAACTGCAGAAAAGGTTTAGTCGCAAGTGCAGTGTAAGGAAAACAATCTTACTTTATATATATCCAGTTGTATTAATTTGTTTTCTTAAAAAGGATTGCATGCTTGATATTTATTATATATTCTGCGATCATTTTTTAAATTACGGATATAATATGTAACTTCTACGTCATCTGTCTCAGGTGGAGAGTTGTCGCATTGGCAATCATACCACATCTTCTTATTTTTATAACGGAGATAATTTAACAGAAAAATACTTATATCAAATCGTGACCATGGGTATCTCGATTTCAATCATATTTCTAACATTTTCCACAAAAAAGTTCACTCATGTAACTTTATTTTCATCTTTCTTTTTCAAGACACATAACAATAGTTTAGTAAACATCGAAACAAATTCTAGAACAAATTACTTGCAAACTGACGTTTTCGAGGAACTTTTTATATTCAAGTCAAAACTTTTTAAACTCCTGTGCCCGTTAATTGATATAAGAAGATGTGGTATGAGTGCCAATGAGACAACTCTCCATCCAAGTCAAAATTTATAAAAGTAAACTATTAGCTGTTTGATGGGACGACCATTTAATTTTCTGGGGAGGGACAGGAGGATTTTGATAATTAATATTCTGACAGGAGAATTTTGATAAGACCTGAAAATAAATATCTTTGCACATGACAGTATGAACATGAAAATTCTGCAACACAAAATGCAGGATATAATTGTGTACTAAAGAGAAAAGTTTCTCCCTGAAAAAATAAGCATGCGTAGTAACCGATTATCAAATGGTTGTCCCCTAAATTTAAAAAGAAAATCAATCATTGACATTGAATGGTAAGAATACTTTTCAATCGCACTGCACTTGCCTAAAAACTCGCACGCACACATGTGTATATTTTGTTCCTCTTCTTTTATTCCTATCTTTCCTTTCTCTCTTGTTAGAATGATGTCTCTTTTATTTACGACATATCACATCTTAAGAGAAATCTACCATGCTGCAGAATACAAGTGGTCACATCTTCTTTATCAAACAAATCACAAACAGCAAATCTTGCGGTAAATCTTGGGTTGTTAGTGGTCAGGGTAAAAAAAAATGTGATAATGCGTAACGTTATTCTTCATCTGTCTCTGTTCGTAATTAATGGTCGTTTTTATTCAAAAGGTATGTCCATCTTTTCACAATAAATGATTCTGGAAACAAATTTCGAATAATTGGTATAAAGTTCTTCAATTGGGGAACGCTCGTCTTAGCAGCGAGAGGTAATCACAGGAGTCGGCACAATCACTCATTCTGCGACATTTGACGTGATTAGAAAATGTGTATGTTTGGCATGATTAAAATTGTTGGTTCTTTTTGATTGTTTGTGACGTTTTTGGTAACTCCACTCCACCATAGATAAATAGCAGTTTTGTATATTCCAACAGACCTAGTCCAATTTCAAATCACAACCAACATAGACCTAGTCTAATTTAAGATCACAAAGGATCCATACCAGAAAGTTGTCGTATATCAATACAGGAGACTGAATACACAAAAGTTCACATATTTTTTTTATTTTTTCATCAAACATATATACAGTCAGTGAACAAAACGTATTTACAGAACGCTGCTAGCGGTGCGTTACATGTTTTTTTTTTTTTCTCTTTTTCTCAACTCCTTTTTCTTTCATGATACATGATAAGTTAACCTTTTTAAAACATATGCCCATAGAACGTTTAGACCAATGAAAAATAGAGAAAAGGAAAAATAAACAAGTTGTTTCCAAACAAGGAAATATTCGAAAGCAGATTAAACTAGATTTGCCATTGCAAGCAATAGCGGATGTCACCTCGGTCCGCCAATTGCCTGGAAACAACAGTCAGTTAAAACAGTGATTGCCCATATTTCTTTAAATTTCTGAAAGTTTGGAGAATTTTCAATTATTACTTTATTGCTGTTTCCATAATAACGGTAGCCATTTTGAAAATTCCAGTCATATATGGCTCATCTACACATTTGAGTTAACATTTCTGTAAAGTTTAGAGCATTTTGAAATGTTTCGACAGTTTTGCTGTTTCCATGGTTACGGTGACCATTTCCAAAATTCCAAAGACAAATACCACATTGGCACATGACAGGGAACACACAATTAAAGTTTCACTGGGTTTGGCCTACCATGTTCTGTGAGAAAGATGATACTTTAATTTTTTTTTCTCATAGGGTTAAATGGTAATATTGTCCCCTGTTTCCATGGCAATCGCAGCCATTTTGGAATTTTTAAATACTGTCTGCATATCTAGGTATAACAGGCAACATTTCCATAAAGATTCAAATGGTTGTGTCTAATAATGAAAGATTTGGAATTTTTAAAAAATGTGTCCCACGACATAATCCTAATCTTCATCCAAAAATATTTCATCAAAACGTTAACACGATTAATAGAAGTCTCAAATACAATTAATTGAAAAAAAAGTTTAAAACTTGGATTTCGAGAACAAAATGCAATTCTTGTCTCATAAAATTATTGAAACTTAATTACTCATGAGAAATAATGAATGTTGATAACGTTCAAACACGACATACAAAGTAGAAAATGCTGAAATTTACAATTTCAAGCATTTTTGCAAATGAGAGGCGAAAGATACCAAAGAGACATTCAAATTCATAAGTCTAAAATAATCAGACAACAATCTAAAGACTGAGCAACACGAACCCCACCCAAAACTGGAGGTGATCTCAGGTGCTCCGCACATGACAACTGTATGATGATTTTTTTCATAAAATTGATACATTATATCCCTTTCTTTTTCCATTATTTGAAAAAAATGTAAATATTCGTAAAGCAAACTTCAGTTTTACGTGAGGTTTGCACGTAGTTGTTGAATGTTCAACAATTAAAGTTCCATACCAGGTGATAAAAAAAAAGTCAACATATTTCAAAAAGATCAATTTACGAAAACTGGTGATAAAACTATACGATCCTAAATTTGTCGAATAATTAACGATTGAATTTCAAAACTTTGAGGGAGAAAATCTGAAAATCGTAAAAATCGAAAGGGTTGAAGAAACCACATATTTTGCATGTACAAATTTCTAAAACAAACTTGTGTTTTTGCGAGACGAACTTGGACAGACGGGCCAACATAACAAGTCCATCAATCATGTATAATATAACGTTCAAACTTTTTAAAATACACACTTAATGACTATAAAACGCATTAAAGCACTTCTAAATTAAACAATCTTTTTCAAAAGGAAAACTTTACAAATACATTATCATTCAGTCAATAAAGTCAGACTATTTGATATTCCATGTCAATATCTATACATATTAACTGTTTTTGGTTACAGTTTATCTTTTCTAAAGATGACTTACAGATTTTACATCTTTTATTTACGTAAAATCATTTAAGTATTTTGTACGTTCATTTATTGTGCAACAAAGGTGAGAGGCCATTGAGGCTCCCATTTGGTCGAAGAATGACGATAATTAATATGTTTTTTTTAAGCATTTGTTGTGCATTATATGCAAATATTTTGTTTTAAGCTTTCAAAGTTGGTAAATATTATCCTATTGCTTGAAGATGAAAGGTTCATTTGGGAATTTAAAGGTATTTTAATGGTAAAATTTCTATTTCCTCCCCGCCTATTTGATGATTGCAGGTTTTTATTAAATGCTTATTCTATAAACACAATCATAATCGTACTTATAAAGGATATCATTTTTCCAGTTTTATGTAGAGGTCGGTCGATGGTGTACTTAAACTAACTTTTAATATGGTATATTTATCCATGTTGAAACGTATGTAAGTCGACCCTAGTTGCTTGAAAGATCCAATGCCGTTTAAATTCCGGAATGTTTCGGCTATCAGCACCATGATTTCTATAGTTCTAGAAAAAAATAAGAAGCAAAGAACAATAAAAAACGCAAGTCTACGAAAGACGGACAACACCATAGCCAAAAGAAAAGCTACAAAAAATACCCCACAGAATACTAACAATTGAGCAAAACGAAACCCATCACAAACGGGTTTAACTAAGTTTCTCAGATAGAGTCAATAGATCCTCCCCCACATCGTCTTGTTACTCTCAGTCGTGTTACTCTTGTAAATATCCGTTGATGAGTTACATTATCGAGTGATGAGGACTCGTAAAGGTTTCTGGTATAACCCTAAGCTATCATATGTATCTGGTTATATCCAAAAACTGTCATCAGTACATGTAAATCCTCAACCCAAATTCATTAAGGAATGTTGAAGTTTTAAAGTATTGGTTCTTAGTTAAGATAATGATTGCCCTGAAAAACAAGAGACAGATGATACACGTCTATATAATTCTCTGCAAAATCAGGGAATTAAAATGAGTCCCTCCCTCCCCCCCCCCAAAAAAAAACCACGAACAGTCGCACGGTTAGTATGAAATGCGTACAGTTAATTCTTATCAGAAACATATATATGTACTGAATAGCATTGTTATGTGTGTTGATAGCATAAGAATCATAAATACGCATGTATATATATGTATATATAATAATTAAGGCATAACTTGAAAGATTTATTCAATGTCGGATATACATATAACAATACCACATATAAGCTCTAGAGAGCTTTAAACGACATAAATGTGATAAACACACGACATAAACCCTGGGACTAATAAAAAAAAGTTAAAAGTAAATTACTAACTCCGGGACGCTGAAACATTTAGTTTAAGAACTTTTCAAGTCCCTTAAATGTATTAGTCCCAGATAAAACTTATTAAACTGAAAGCACATCATTCCTATAGCATAAATATTACAAGAAAATGGGAAGGTCTCATTAAAACTTTTTCCGGAAAAGTTAAAAGGGAATAAAAAAAATATCAAAATACATCACTTACTTGATTGACCATTTTCATCCGTAGCCTGGTCATGTGATCATGGACACTGTCCGTGTCCGTAGTTGCCATTTTTTTCCACGTAACCAAGGTTACTTGACGCTTTTTTCAGTCTTCCGCCGTCATATTTATAGTTACCTTTAGAAAGTTAATCGAAATAGTTCAGTTGTAAAGATCCCTTGGCCACTGTTCAACATAGAAGATCGATCGTTCCATTACTGAGATAAGGGGTGATCTTTTTGATTTACTGTTAAATTTTATCAGTTTTATGTCAATATTTGGAGCCCTTGTTATTAATTTTTACATTAACTTGTAATGCGGTAATATCTTGGATATACAGAATTGTCGATATGATCAGAGACATTATTTGATCTTCGATTTGAATCAGATGCAAATTAATACACACGCGATCATAGTGGAAATTTTATTTCAAAAGCCGGGCAACTACAAAAATTTCCTTTGCCAGGTTCTTTAATCAATAACAGAAACAATAAACATATAAATCATCACGGTAAATTAATTGTGTTATTAAAATAATACAGACTCGTATTGAATGACAATGTAAATAGTAAACAGGTTAAAGTCTTCATAACTTTCAATTATTTTCTTTATCAAACATTCAATAGTTTGCAGTTCATTTCATTTGAAATAACAAAGAAGAAATATTTCAATGCGTTATTCACAAACTGTTCAAAAGCTTTTCTTTGCCGTCTTTCGGGCTTGAAGATACCCGCTTTGACAGGTGTCTGTCACATGATAATGACGTCATAATTTCTAAAATGGCGGATTCATGTGATGTTTTGTTTAGATGTATGATCTCCCTTGCTTAGATCGATTTTGCAATGCCTAGTAATTACAGTTGATATTAATAGAAGTTAATAAACAGAAAGACATAATCATGTAAGAACAAGGGAAAACTATTTATTGTTGCAGTAGCGATGATATATTTTGACGACAAGTTTTATGAAATTGTTATTTTTGACAGAGCATGACGTTCGTTTCTTTCCAAAATTATCACCGTCCAGCGGTTGGTAGAACCTGGACCCCTTGGCACATGAACCCATTGCTCTACCTTCTAACGAGTATCCCCCCGTTTCTCAGGAGTAATCATGTCATCAGATCATCTTATTGTATCCTCAACAGCAAGGATTTGTACTACATGTATACTGTAATACAAATCCTTGTCAACAGTTATTGCCTCTGATTAATCAATATAATTTTCAAATCATCAGCAAAACCCCAAGTTGTGATAAAAAAAAAGAAAACTGTAACATGTTTAATCTTTTAATGCTTTTTAATATCTTCTGAAAAAAGGAATGTATGTGACAGTTAATGAGTTATCCAACAACACTGCCAAACTAAAAAGTTGGTCTTTTCAATCACCACTGTACACCAAGGCCATACATTAACAAACACCTTAAAAATACCACTGAGCACACCTGAATGATCCTATATATATAGATAGTCATTTACCTCAATTTAGGATACACTCTTGAATTTTGAAGAGTCGAAATAGGATGAACGGATCATATAAACCCGAAGGCAAATATAATACAAGCCCAAACGAAAAAATATAAACAAGTCTAAATTGAAAACAACGTTCAAACCTATGATTGCGTTGAATAAAAACTGCAATTTTTATATGTGTGCATGCAAAACAAATTTCTTGGTGGAGGGGTCTAAATACAGCACAAACAACATTTTCCTAAAGACCAAAAAAAGTGAAGAATATATATATATATATATAATAACTCTAAATATCAGCACAACAATGTTAAAGCAAATTTTTGTTCTTCCCTCGCCAGGATTAGACCTCATGCTATTGGGATATCGAGACATCACCACCTGCACTGTGTCCAACGCTCTAGACCACTAGGCCACCTAGACTGAACTAAAATTCAGTTTTCAGTGGCCTAGTGTTACCTTTCCTCGTCAGTAGAATCTAGAGTTGTAACACAGTACATTGTACATGATATATTAGGCATGAGGATGGAATTGATTGCAGATTAGCTGCATGTAAGTTATCTGTACTAAAGGTTGTATGATACAGTCACAGAAATAATTAATTTGATAAATACGTCTAAACAAGTGACAACTCTAGGACAGATCCATCCATTGGATCACCAGTGAAGGTGATACATGGCTGAAAACATATATTATTCATAATTACTCTAAATATCAGCACAACAATGTTAAATCTGCTTCCGCAAATTTTTTTATATATATAATATATAGATATTTTTTATACGACCGCAAACAAATTTTGCGATCGAATATTGGTATGAAGTTGGTGTCGTCGTCGTCGTCGTCCAAGACACATTGGTTTGCGCACTCTAACTTTAGTTTAAGTGAATGGATCTCTATGAAATTTTACCATAAGGTTCAATACCACAAAAGGAAGGTTGGGATTGATTTTGGGGGTTATGGTACCAACAGTTAAGGAAAAAGGGGCCAAAAATAAGCATTTTTGTAACTTCCAGACATAATGTATGGATCTCTCTGACATTGTACCACAAGGTTGCATATCACAAAGGGAATGCTGGGATTGATTTGGGGGGTAATTGCCTCAAAATTTTAGGAATTAGGGGCCAAAAAAGGGACAAAAAACAAGCATTTTTATATGGACAAATACTTTAGTACAAAACATAATTTAAAGCAGTGTAAGAGAGATAAATCAAATACATCATTTGTATTACTCCCCCACTGCTTTTAAATTATGCATAAAGTAATGGTTAATGAACAATTAAGACAATTTAAAACAGTGTAAGGGAGGTAATCGACATACAACGTTTTGATTACTTCTCTTGCACTGCTTTTAATTACGTTTAAAGAAATGCATATTTATAAAGGAAGAACAGTAAAAATATCTGCAAATGTTGCATCTTTTTTTTTTACAAAAAAATCCATATGAAAGATTTGACACCATATTTTAGATTCTATTATAAAATAGATTAAATTTAAGGAAAAAGGGGCCAAAAATAAGCATTTTTGTAACTTCCAGACATAACTTGTGTGTTAGTGTATGGATCTCTCTGACATTGTACCACAAGGTTGCATATCACAAAGGGAATGCTGGGATTGATTTTGGGGGTAATTGCCTCAAAATTTTAGGAATTAGGGGCCAAAAAAGGGGCAAAAACCCATATGGTAAATTTAAATGGGAAATTATGGTTGCAAATTCCATTGGAAATTTGAATTGAGATTATGACCCTATTTTGAGGGAAAGAAAGGGGGTAAAAGGTGGGGGGTAAAAAGAAATTGTGGGGGGTCAATTTTTTCTCATTTCAGATTTCAGAAATTAAAAAGAATTATTCTTCAAATATTTTTTTTTTTTCAAATTTCAAATATTGAAAAATTTCAAGAAGTAATCTTTAATTGCATAGTATGGCGCATTAGATTTGTAAAATCTTTGACCACATTTATTTATTTGTTATGCCAAATCTGACCGTGTATTTAGATTTTTAATTTTGGGTCCAGTTTTCAAATTGGATTTCATATTTACAAGTACATGTAAAGCCATGAAAAAATCTACCATATTTTCTGTTCTACTGAGTACTCCATATGCCAATTTTGAGAATGGCTGCCATGCTGGCCAGGTGACCAGCAGGAAGGGTTGACACTAAATTGAATTATACACACATGCATTCTCTTTAATGATTTTGAATTAAGTTTTTTGGTTTTGAGTGACCCAGTGGTATTAAGGAATGATATTTTTTTAAAAGTCTACAGACAAGACAACGATGGAAGCCAAGTAGACATGGTAGAAGGAATAGCCCTTTGAGCCAGTTAAGTAAAATCCAGACTTTATGACTAATATTTATATAAATAGTTTATGAGTTAGGTGTTGTTTGGACATTTTTGGAAAAAGCATTTTTTTAGCTCACCTGGACCAAAATGCCATGCAACTTACTGGACCAAATGTTTCAAACTCAAGGGCAAGTTGTTTGTATATATTTCCAGCAATTTGATCTATGTACAATCATAGCCACTGTTGTTGAAAAAGTGAACAGAAGGGTCACAATGTATCTAGCAATTGGCCCTAATATTTGAAGATTTTTATCATACAAATATATTATTTACATCTTCTTTTTCTTCCAGAAATGTTTGATGATGTCAAACAAGCTTGTGACAAGCTTGTATCACACACTAGGAGCTCATTCATCAGATGTAAACTGTGTGGCATTCTCTAATGGAGATTTACTAGCCACAGCTTCAGCAGATAAAACTGCACGATTATGGAATACAGATGATTTTTCAGAACACAAACATTCACCCTTGTGTGGACATCAGTATTATGTGCATTGCTGCACATTTTCTCCCTTTGGAACCACCCTTGCTACATGTTCAACTGATGGCAAATTGATTTTATGGGATGTAAAGACTGGTAAAAAGAGTGCTGTGTTACATCATGAGAGTCAGAATAGTATACGAGTCTGTCGGTTTTCTCCAAACTCAATGTACATTTTAACTGGATCAGATGATGAATTATTATGTATGTGGGAAGTGTCAAGTAAAAAATTAATCAGGTATATACATATAAATAAATTGCTTCGCCGAGCACATCTGGATACGACCGCAGAGGTCCAACCCTGAAAAGTTGGGGCAAAAATGGACACAACATTCGCGCTTGATACAGGTCTGAATTTGGATTGTAATTCAATATTTGACACACAATAGGTTTCTGACACAGAATAACTGTAGTCAAAGAACTTAGAATTGGTTATATGATTTGAATTTATATTCAATTTTTTGCTTTTTGTGCAATACACTATGCTGTTGCAAATTGACCTACCCCCCCCCCCTTTCAAAAAAAAAAAAAAATTTGAAGGATTTTCTTTTTGATTTCTGAAATCATGAGGAGAAAAATTGTCCCCCCCACCCCCCACCACAAATTCTTTCCCTCAGTCATGGTCATGATAATTTCAATTCAAATTTCCAATGGAGTTTGCAACCATAATAACCCATTTAAATACATTGTACATCATAAAAGTCTTAAAATAGAAAATGACATACATAATCATAGCTAAAATTAATTTACCTTAATCAGCATTTTTTAAATTATTAAAATAGTAACTTCTGAAAATGAATTGACAGCTAATCACCTCAAGACAATACAAAAATTCTTTATACATAATTTAAAAGCAGTGTAAGGGAGGTAATTCAAAGTTGTGTTTGAATTACCTCCCTTACACTGTAATTTGTACTTAAGTAATTGTCCATTACCCAGGACACCCTTGTTTTTTCTCACTTTTTTGCCCCTAATTCCTAAACGGTTTGAGCCATAACGCCCCAAAGCCAATCCTTACCATCCCTTTGTGGTGTGGAAACTTGTGGTATAATTTCAGAGAGATCCATACACTGTTCCACAAGTTAGAAAAATGCTTATTTGGGCCTCTTTTTGGCCCCTCATTCCTAAACTGTTGGGACCATAACCCCCAAAATCAACCCAACCTTCCTTTTGTGGTTATAAACCTTATGTTTAAATTTCATAGATTTCTGTTTACATGTACTAATGCTAAAGTTATTGTCCGGAAACCAAATGTCTTCGGACAACGACAACGTGATACCAATATACTACTGCAAATTTTTTTGCGGTCGTATAAAAACTCATCAAAGATACCAGGCTTATAATTTTATAAGCCAGACAGTGTGAAAATAACTTGATTTTGAATTTGAAGGGTTTTTTACCTGCATTTTACCATTTATTCTTTCACGTTGTCATTTGGAACCCTTAGCTGTGTTTCTTAACGGTTATTGCTATTTATTTTGTTTTTAAATTTCAGACACTGTTCAAAACCTTTTTAAAGATTAAAGTAATTAAGGGACATATCAAAATGATCTTCAGTAGACCGAAGTATTTTCCATACAGAGTTATCTCCATAAAAATCAAAACCTTATTATGGGTTAAACACAAAAAAAATTACAGGTAGATAAAAATTGATAGGTGGGAAATGTTCCTTCTGGGATAAACTCAGAAACAGTTAGAGTTAGATAAAAAGTAAATGGTAGATAATATTTTGGAGATCATGTCGCAACTATGATATGTTTTAACTGAAAAAGCTATGACCAATATATCTAAGGGATAGAATCCACATCAAAGGGTCACCGTTGTGAGTGGTCATTACCCATTTTAACCGGATTTTCGAAGTAAAACTTGGTTGTTGATTTGGGGATGTACGGCGGGTGGGCGGCCGGCTGCCACCGTTCATTTACATGAAAACCCTTTGAAGAATTTTTTTCAAATTTAAATATATTGTTTCCTGTGACTAAATGAAGGTCAAGTTCAATTTTCACGATTTTAGTTTTTCTCGTTGTTCAGTTATAGCCCTTTCCAAAGAATTCAATTTTTGATGAATTAATCCATTTCTGTACAAAGGGAAATAACTCATTTTTTAAAAGATTTTTAAAAGACATTATAATTTATATTAATGATAAATGACATTTTGCATTTTTTTTTTCTTTTCTTTGGTAAATTGTTTGAAGAATTTTGTGGTAGGTTTGTTTCTTATTCTGTATAAACTAATTTTCTAAATGCTATATATATATATATATTTTTTTATGAAGTGATCTCCTTTAATTAGATAATAATCTATTTTTATATTTCATTACATTTAAAGTTGTTGACATTGACCATAGATCTATAAGTTGCAGATCTGAATTAGTTTGTCACAAATGAAAGAAAAATATTTGGAACTATTAATTATATTTGAATATAATTTGAAAATAGATATACATTGTGTTACATCATATCTAATTTTAGAGAACTATTAATCATATCTAATGTAAGTGTACTATGTTAAACCATATTTCTGTTCAAAGGGAAATAACTCAAACTTATTCCATGAACACATGATAACATCAAAATTTCTTTATAACTATTTTTTTTTAAGTCATGTGTGTTATGAAGGTAGATGTCGCAGTTGTTATGTGGTATTTTATTTTTGTTGTGTGTGTTAATGTTCAATTTTTACATGATCCTGTTTGGGGTTCAGATTTGCAAATATCATTTTCATTATTAATTAGATAATAATCTATTTTAGATATTCAATCACAATCCAAATTCAGAGCTGTTTTAAGCTTAAATGTTGTGTCCATACTTGCTCAACTGTTCAGGTTTCGACCTCTGCAGGAAAATCCGGTTTGCTGTCACTCGACAGCCTCTTGTTTTGGTCAATTTTAAATTTTTAGATTTACTAAGATCAGACATTTTCAACAAGTTTTTTGGTCAGAAATTGCATTTTTTGGTTAGCAGCTACATTTTGTACTAAATCCTGATTGCAATGATTCCTCCAAGGAAAAAAGCTGCTACTCAGTATTGTATGATAATCCATAAAGGCCTCCAAGTTACTGTTTCAATGCCAATGAAGATATCAGGCTATTTTGGAATGATTGAATGGTGTACATGTCTGACTGGCAGGGTTCATTTGACCTTGGCCTAATTTTCATGGTTCATTGGTCAATGTTAAGATATCCTGGTTCTGTCTGTTTCTTAGTTACAAAAAGCAATAGGTTGACTATATTTGGAGTATGGAATGATAGTAAGGTAGACATGTCTGTCTAGCATGTATCATCTGACCTTGACCTTGTTTTCATGGTTCTGTGGTCCATGTTAAGTTTTCATGGTTGGTCTGTTTCTTGGATACTATAAGCAATAGTCATCTTTATCATATATCAGTTTTTGGGGAAAGACGGCTTCAAGCCGTCAATTCCCTATTTGGTTGGCCAGACTTCCAAGCTTCTCACGTCAATCATTTTGTTTTTATAGTTGGGAAAAACACCTCAAAATTGCATACTGAATTGATGAGAAGGAGATACACATATGAACAGATTGACTTTAAACACTTTTTTTACACATTTCCCTTCTGTTTCTCGTGAAATTATCGTATCTTGAGCTCTCCCTTTCACTTTTTACGTTTCTTTTACAATCCGGAAAATCAGTATTTACTATTACGAAATATTCTAAATATATCCAACCTAGTGACGTCATGGTTGGAATTCACACTACGTATAAGAAGGGATATCCTTTACTCATTATTAAAATCATTCACAGAAATCGTGTACGATTTTAAAATCGGTATTTGTTTATTTAAACATAATTATGTTTGCTGTAGATGATTCCAACATCAATGCTTTAATTTGTAGGTCAACTTTCGTGGTAAACAATGGGGATACATGAGATTTGGGAGAGAAATGACACTTTTCATTCTTTCTGTAACTGTATTGAGAATCTTCCTCCAATTCAGGAGCACCTCAATTGATGAGTAATTATCCACCAAAATAAAAGTTAATGTATCTGAACACTTAAAATGTGACATTTATTAAATGTATTATATGATAAGTAGTCTTCCATTTAAACAAAATTTTGTGTACCAGCATAATGTAAAAAAAATTATAAAATTTTCAAATGTTGCTTTTTGTAGTTTAAACATATTTATTCATGAAATTTGCATATATCAAAATGTAGGATCTTGAAACAAGCTGCACACAGCTTATATCAATCTGATTGATTTTTGTAAGTACAAAAAATGTACATGTATCCCTGTGATGAGAGTTGTAACTGGGAACTTTATCAATGGAAATTTAAAACTGAATAGACTTTTCAGTCCTCACTTTCTTGAAAAGGTGGAATCATTTAAAAATCTTAGAGCACTGTCACAAGAAATGGAGAATGACCCTAGCCTGCAGTTCAGTGGTACACAAAAAAAACTTAAAATATTGTAGAAGTTATTAAATGATAGAATTCAATTGAATATTAGATAATTAACTTTCAACTTTAATCAAATGTTTTGATTTAGAAGGTGCCAATCTCTTCCATTGGTCCAAATTGACTCCATGATGCATGCTTGACTAAGGAAATGAAATTACATTAAACAACAATTATTTTCAATATTGTCAACTTTTCTACATGTTCTGGCTGTTCTTTTGCTCATTCTTTGTATGAAGACTATCAAAAGATACCCCCAAAAAAATAGAAACAATGGCCGTCTTTTCCCTCAGAGCTCTTAAGCTCTTTGATTTTTCACTTGTGTTTAATTTTCACTTTGTTCGCGGCAGGTAAAGAAACGCGAAAATTTGACCCCCTCTAAATTCAAAGATTATTCGCTGTTTATGCATTATTAAACCCCACGCAAATTTTTTGCGAGGGTATAATGTTTTTGACATGTCCGTCCTGTCCGTCCGTCTGTCTGTCCATCCGTCAGTTCTGTTTCTTGTCATCGCAACTCCTCTCAAACCACACAACAGAATTTCATGAAACCTTTTCAGATAATAACGATATACTAAGTAGTTGTGCATATCGACAGGAAATTACGATTCATTTTTTTCTTTCTGGGAGTTACGCCCCTTTGAACTTATTTGCTTCTATGTACTACTGCAACAGTTTGTCATCGCAACTCCTCTGAAACCACACCACAGAATTTCATGAAACTTTGTAGATAATAAGGACATACTATGTTGATGTGCATATCGACAGGAAATTACGATTCAATTTTTTTTCTAGGAGTTACGCTCCTTTGAACTTATTTGCTTCAATGTACTACTGCAACAGTGTGTCATTGCAACTCCTCTGAAACCACACCACAGAATTTCATGAAACTTTGTAGATAATAAGGACATACTATGTAGATGTGCATATCGACAGGAAATTACCATTCAATTTTTTCTAGGAGTTGCGCCCCTTTGAACTTATTTGCTTTAATATACTACTGGAACAGCTTGTCATCGCAACTCCTCTGAAACCACACAACAGAATTTCATGAAACTGTGTAGATAATAAGGACATACTATGTAGGTGTGCATATTGACAGGAAATTATGATTCAATTTTTTTTTCTTACACTTATTATATTTCTCCAATGACAATGTGGGGACGTGGGGTATGTGAGCGCGCTCACTAAGGTTCTTTAATTTTGATAATTATTGAGTATACACGGAAATTGATATGTAAACTCTTTTCACCTTAAAAGTGATATAACATTATTTATAGAATCAGTTGATCGACATATCACCAGAATGTGCATATCTAATTAGGACCTCTGTTTTCATAAAAATTAAATTGGATTATCTTTATACATGTCATTACTTTTGACAACACAACAATATGTTAATTAGTGACAATCTATTGATTGTTGTCATGACGTGATCTCTGAATTTTGAGTATTTCAGTTTGTAGTGTTTGTATAATCGATTATCTGTCAGTCAATTAACTTAATGTTGTTTACATTTTTAACAATGCAATACTGTGTTTTTTTCATGTGTATTTTCCCATTTTGTGAAAAAATTGTACACAGTGAAAATTTAACCTGCCCATTTTGTCATCAAATCGTGAAAAAAAGGCAATGTGAAAACCCTCGATATACGGTATTTGGTGTATAAAATTATTGTAAGGTGTACGTTTATGTGATTTTTTTTTAGCAAAACCTTTATCTCTAAGACTTTTAACATAAAATCAATCACGGTTAATAAAGCAGGGGAAACATTTCAGCATGTGCACCCTTGTTTTGTTTGAGAGCCTTAAAAAACACCAATAATAGCCTTCAATCTTGTATGAACCTGTTCCTCTTATTGAATTTTGAGATTTATTTTAACTAGAACCTTTGCTGGACATGAAGCGTCAGTTGTAGGATGTGATTTTTCACCAGACAGTAACTTCATAGTATCGGGCAGCTGCAATGGTGACCTCCAGGTCTGGGATGCTAAATTTGGTCATGGGAAATGTCTGAAGTATATAGATGAAGGTCATGACCTTGGAGTCAGCTGCTGCCAATTTTCTCCTACTTATGGATCTGCAAAATGTAAGCATAGAAACATCAAATATTATATAAGTCACATGATACCAAGCGTCAATTGGAAGTTTGAGTTATATCCTTAAATAACTATTTTTACTAGTATCGCCTTGTGTTTCAAAGATCGTCATCTCTAAACCTACTATTATTTAAAAAGAGACTTAGTATGAATGATCTTAATTGTGCATTATATTTTTATTTGTGAAATATATGTTCCTCTATTAACCCACATACATGAAGCCACCATGACTGTAAAAATAGAACATTTTTAGTCTTAGATACATGTACATGATTTTCTTATTAGTTAATTAGTTTTCTATGAACTAGCTTTCAGTCACTGCGAGAACTCTCAGATCTGTACTCTGTGTCTTTAGTGTTTTTGCTATTTATTTTTGAGTTTTTTATCAATCTGATGAGTTAAGCCCTTTTCAACTGATTTTTGGAAAGTTTGCTATAGCTTGCTATAGCAATATACTTTCCTAAGGCATCGCCTCAAACCGGAAGTTGGACAGACTATCGCAAGTGTTCTACTCCTAGATAATGTAGTACTAGTGTTTGAATACTAATTCTGGGAAGATGTTTTTGAAATTTTGAGTTACTTCTATTTTGATTAGCTTACAGCTTGAATTTAAATGTACTGAATGTTCATCGATAATTCAAATGAATTAAACTTCATTTTGAAAATGGCTATCACAAACACTACTAAGCGGATCTGTGCTGCACGGAAATTAAAATCAATACACATCTACACGAGACAGCAGTTTCTACGTTATTCTTTTATCTGTATTCCCCAGACATGCGTGAGATCCATATATGTGTACCTCCCGACGGGAGTACAATAATCCCGGTTTCAGGGGTTTCCTCCCGTCGTCCAGTTGAAGAGAAAATGAATACTGTGTTTTAAAATATTTCATGAATGAACATTTTTCGACGCTATTTTTACTACGATTATTACAAATGTTTATTATAGACGTGAAAGCCTGAGTGTATCGAAAGTAACCTGGTATCTCATCTTGGCCCATAACAGACTCGGACTATAACAAACTCGGCCTATTACAAAATCAGACTATAACAAAATTCGTATATACTATTTGTTATTAAAAATAAGTCTCCCAAACAAAGTTTGGAGACTTAATGTTTTTGCTCATTTCTTATTATTTTTCTTCTTGGGGTCTATTAATGGGTATTTTGAGTGGCCTACAGAAGGGAGGGATTTACTAAAGAACCCTATATGGGATTTTATTTTTTTTAATTTTCAAATGAATATAACTTGAGAACAGTAAGTGATAGACACACACGGTCTTCAGTAATGATCACAGGACAATAAAACAAATCAAATAAAATATAGGTTGAGTCGCTGGGGTCACCCCACCCCACCCCCTTTCAATTTGAGAATGGGCTTTTATCTTGTAAACAGTTAAGATCCCCACACCTAAACCATATATATTCATGTATTGGATAATAAAACAAATCAAATGAAATATAGCGGGAGTCCCTCTGGGTCATCCCCACCCCCTCCTGTTTGAGAACTTTTAAACGGTCGAGATCCCCACCTTGAAACCATATATATTCTTGTATGGGACAATAAAACAAATCAAATTAAATATAGGGGGAGTCCCTGGGGGTCACCCCACCCCATCCTGTTTGAGAACTTGTAAACAGTTGATATCCCCACCCCTTAACCATAATATTCTTGTATTGGACAATAAAACAAATCAAATGAAATATAGGGGAAATTAACGGATGTCACCCCCACCCCCCCTTCTTATTGAAAACTTGTAAACGGTCGAGATCCCCACCCCAAAACCATATATATTCTTGTACGGGACAATAAAACAAATCAAATGAAATATAAGGGGAGTCCCTGGGGATCCCCCCCACCCCATCCTGTTTGAGAACTTGTAAACGGTCGAGATCCCCACCCCAAAACCATATATATTCTTGTACAGGACAATAAAACAATTTAAATGAAATATAGGGGGAGTCCCTGGGGGTCACACCCACCCCATCCTGTTTGAGAACTTGTAAACGGTCGAGATCACCACCCCAATACCATATATATTCTTGTACAGGACAATAAAACAAATCAAAGGAAATAAAGAGTCCCCTGAAAATCAACCCCTCCCCCTTTTTGAGAACTTGTAAACGGTCAAAATCCCCACCCCTAAACTATATATATTCCTGTCCATGATTACAAGAAGATTTGAATGACATACAGGGTTAATCCCTAGCCGTCACTTATGCATATCACTTTACTAGACCAAACGAATTTGTACTGGACTCTGCCCAATGTCAGGCGACCAAGGGAATGACTAATTATGGGAGTTTTGTTTGGGAGACTTCGTAACAGCATCCTGTTACAATTATTTCTTGTATTACATAAAAAATTTTAAAAGTCAGAAAAAAATGTTAACCACACAATCTACTTATCGTAGTCCGAGTTTGTTATTGAAACAAGAAAACTAACTGCTTAATTAGTTTTAACACAATTTACTACAAACAAATATGAAGGACCTTAATCAATAAAAAATACTTAATCACAAGCCCTTTACATGGGATGGGTACAGAAAGAAATTAACAGAGCCTCTGTATATTTGATTTTTTTTAAATCTACAGTTTAAGGTTGCAATAGAAATTATCAAAATTTTACATGACAAACATATGAAAAAAGTGATTTTTTATAATTGCTGACGAGACAATGGTTTAGGGAAAAACACCAAAGCTGTGATTGAAGTAATACACATCTACAACCTATTTGAAGTAATACACATCTACAACCTATTTGAAATAATACACATCTACAACCTATTTGAAGTAATACACATCTACAACCTATTTGAAATAATACACATCTACAACCTATTTGAAATAATACACATCTACAACCTCTTTGAAATAATACACATCTACAACCTATTTGAAATAATACACATCTACAACCTATTTGAAGTAATACACATCTACAACCTATTTGAAGTATTACACATCTACAACCTATTTGAAATAATACACATCTACAACCTCTTTGAAATAATACACATCTACCGTTGCAAACTTTCCACAGGTGCTATCCAGCACTTTGATTATAGTTTGTTCTTATGTTGTACTGTTCCACCACTGTCTTAGGTTAGGGGAGTGTTGGGTTCTAGCAAACATGTTTAACCCTGCCACATTCTGTATGTGTCTTTCCCAAGTCATGTAATTCAGTGGTTGTTGTTTTAGGTTGCTGTATATCATATTTGTTGTTTGTACATAAATCAGGCTGTTAGTTTTTTCATTTGAATTGTTTTAAATATGTCATTTCAGTGCCTTTTAAAGCTTGCTAGGCTGTATGGTGACCTATAGTTGTTAACTTCTACGTCATTTGGTCTTTGGTGGAGAGTTGGCTTATTGGCAATCATACCACATCCTCTTATTTCTGTATAGGGTTAAAATGTATCACATATGTTGAAAACTGTAGTATATGGGGAAAATCTGACTGTGATAAAGATGCTTAAGAAGTCCAGATCTGCTGTTTACTTTATCCATGTAAATTATTACAGGGTCATTGGTGATTTTTCTGAATTCTTAGTATTTCTGTTAAGTATTTTTATGCCCCCGCTGTAGCGGAGGGGGCATTAAGTTTTACCCTTGTCCGTCTGAATGTCCATCCGTACGTCACGAAATTGGTTTCCATTCTCTAACTTTAGTTTGCCTCAACCAAATGTTATGAAACTTATACACAATGCTTATTACCACAAAACACAGATCAAGTTTGAATTTTGGTGGCATCACTTTTACTGTTCTAGAGTTATGCCCCTTTACAAATGGAAAAATTGCTGAATTTTTCATTTCTATTCTCTAACTTAAGTTTACCTCAACCAAATGTTATGAAACTTATACACAATGCTTATTACCACAAAACACAGATCAAGTTTGAATTTTGGTGGCTTTACTTTTACTGTTCTAGAGTTATGCCCCTTTACAAATGGAAAAATTGCTGAATTTTTTGTTTCTGTTTTCTAACTTAAGTTTGCCTCAAGCAAATGCTATGAAAATTATACACAATGCTTATTACCACAAAACTCTGATCAAGTACAAATTTGGGTAGCTTCACTTTTACCATTCTTGAGCTATGTCCCATTTGTAGCAGGGGCATCATCTGTGTCCCATGGACACATTCCCCTTTTATTTTAATATTATCTTCAGGACGTTAAAGAAATAACAAGGAAATTAGGATCTCCTGGATATTTTTTTTGAGGAAGAAGGGATGGTGATTGGTATCTAATTGTTTATCTTGATTTTTACATAAATAAATATTGAGATCCTGTCACTTAAGAAAAAAACATTATTGAGCTTGTATATCCATTTTATTGTGCTCAAAATGAAAACGTGAAAATAACTATTACTAATTTTTTTCCAAAGTGATCTACTAGGACTACTTGGAACCTCTAGTTATTTTTAAGATTCATAAATACATGTTTGTTTTTAACAGAGTATTAATCCAGCACTTGAATTCATTGATATTTGTTCATGAAAGGACTTCTGGGTAAAAAATCATCCTTTTGAGTTTTGTACAAGTGAAGACATTAAAAATTGGCAGAATTGATATTAAGCTCATTATTACCGGTATATTGAAACTTTGCATCACATTTATATGAAAAAACAATTCTGTCCTTTTATTTCAGCAGTTTCATCAGACAATGGAACAGTTACATTTATGTTTGCCAGTGGAGGGCAAGATGATCTGATCAAAATTTGGAATTTCCAGGCTGTTTTGGGTTCTGCAGGTAAGATTATATTCAAGGCCTCATTTCTGTTTGCCAACATCTTCATGTATGATCACACTTTTGACATGTTTAATGTCGATCACAATAACAAAATCTCAAATCTCAAAATCTAGCATACCCAGAGAGTTCATTCAATTTACAAAAATCTCGGCATATTCCATTCTCATATACCATAATTTTACAAGATGTTCAGGAAACTGGTCTACCTAACTTTTGAACACTAGATTTAGTAGTATGAGTTTTATATACAGATTTATTTATATATTATACAGAATTTTATATTTACTTGCACATGTTTTTTATTCCAGCTGTTTCAGTTGACCTCAGATTGACCTTAAAAGGTCATTCAGGACCAGTAACTTGTTGCTCTTATTCACACGATGGAAGTCTTTTAGCATCAGGGTAATTTTAGTGTTGTAGAGACAGACTTAAGTGTTACCTTTCCGATGTCATTGTCAAAGCTAAATATGTTTTTACTAAATAGTTCCATTCTAGAATATATACTTTTGATAAATCAGTTATATATAGTAGTATACAGTTGCATTAGCATTGATGAATTATAATTCCGCACTATTTTCCAAAAATGGTAAGAAGTTGTTTAAAAAAGATGTTTTTCTATTTTATTTATCCATATTTTCAAATGGTCAGTATAGAATCATTCTCCATTGTTTTAGAAACATTCTGAGCAACCCTTTCTATTTAAGTCTTTGATCCAATTTCACATGAAGAAGTACTGGTAATGTCATCTGGGCCCTGTAGTGAAAAAATAATTTATTGGCTTTGATTTCAATTAATGCATTCGAAGAGTTGTATATTTAAAAATATATTAAAATGTCATATTTTTGGCTACATGAGGGAATAAGGCTCCTTTGAGCCTATCTTTTTCCCTCACAGGCAAGAAGTATTTCTGTGTTGACAGTTTTATTTATATGTTATTCACAACAGTTTTATATGTTTTATAAATGCTTAACAGAATATACAGTACTTTATTTATACTACAAAAAGGCTTTTTGCACATCTAATTTTTTTTTAAACCAGTTTGTCTCAAACACTTATCTACTGTACAGGTGATAGGCTAAGGTGATCTGTACAGGTAAATATTACCAATCTAGGCCACATAACCACTAAGACCACTTATAAGGTTTTGGTCATTAATGCTTAAGGTCTGAATTTATAAAATTATATTGCAAATAGGTATTTGGAAAATTGTATAAATAACTATAATGCAGAAATCAGTTTTCTCTTGGAAGTCATAGCAAAATAAAAGAATATGAAAAGGGACATTGCTTAGATGGTGTAACATATATACAACATAATATAGGTTGTTTAAAAAAAACTTATAGAATTATAATAAATTGCATCAATCTGTTAATTGCAGCTCAATAGACAAGACTGTGAGACTATGGGATGCTGTAAGTAAAACTTGATACATAGGTACCTAATCAATGTTAATAATGTAATAGTCAAATGCTAAAAATCTGCAGCCGGTTGTACGAACGTGTCATTAGTCTAATGAATCATTAAGTCTTCATTAACCTAATGCATCATAAAGGCTTAATGAAGACTTAATGACCCATTAGGCTAATGCCACGATCATACAACCGGCTGCTGGCAATCAGCTGCCCATATCTTATCTAAAAAATGAAAACAACATGATAACAATTTAATGCATCCGAAGCGCTTTTCTAGATTTGCCATCAGAAACACTCAAAGACGAATTGTTCAAGTAGTTATGTTTGTATGCAACTTAAAGAAAAAAGAGGTGAAAGATACCAAAGGGACATTCAAACTCATTAAAAAACTTACAATGCCATGGCAAAAGAAGGAAAACATTTAAAAGACAAACAACAGTATATAAAATACAACATAAAAAACCAAAGACTGAATAAACACAAACCCCACCAAAAACTGGGGGGCTCACAGGAACAAGATCTTGCTCTACACGTGGCACCTGTCATTAAGAAAAGTCAAAATTTGCTCTTTATAGTGTGTTTTCCAATCCTAACTTGTTTGCCAGTAAATTGTATTGATAAGAATTTTAGAATTTGAATACATCATATGCCATCAAATGTTCCTTTATAATAGTATTTATTTTCTTTGCAGATACATGGGAACTCATTACATGTAATAGAAGGACATGTTAGATATGTGACAAGTTGTTCTTTTTCCTATGATGGACTGTATCTGGCATCAGGTTCGAATGACAGAACAGCTGTAATATGGAAAATTACCAATGAAGATGAATTATTCAGTAGGTGTTATGAGTGGTAAAGGATTATCATTAAGTAGAGTTTTTCGTCCTATAATTTGACATAATAGGTTACAAACACCTTATTTTGACCTCATTGATATATATTTAGTTTTTATGATGCCTGTGAAATGTTCTGTGAGCTCAAAGAAATTCATAATATCCCTCAGTCACAATTTAGTAAAACAGGGGAGACAATTCAGTATGACTATTCTTGTTTATCAACAACAAGTCATAAATCTTTAATTTTGACATTTCAAAAGTTTAGTACAAAAGTTTGCTGAAAAAATAGTAGCTCCCACTTACTTTCCACAAATTCTATAAAGTATATGAAAATAGATTTTATCAATATCTCATCAAAAGGCAATTGATATTTTATAGTGTGTCTTTCTATGTTGTGATGTTACACTATTGTTTCAAGTAGGGTGAAGGCTGGCGCCTATTAAAACGTTTAAACCTGCTGCATTTGTTTGCACCTGTCCTAAGTCAGGAACCTGATGTTAGTAGTTCAGTAGTTGTCGTTTGTTGATGTGGTTCATAAGTGTTTCTCGTTTCTTGTTTTTGTCTCAACTTGACGGAGTCAAAAAGCGAGACATAGGTATGCTGTTTCCGGCTTCGGCGGCGTCATCAACAATGTATTAGTTTGTGATTAGGTTTAGTTTATGGTGAACCACTAGAGGTAGGTCAATGATATTTGGTATGCAGTTGTATTAGCATTTGCCCAGCCCCCTCAGTCATGGTCTATTGACTTTTAAACTTTGCTTAGTTTACATGTATTAGTTTGTGATTAGGTCAGTTTATGGGGAACCACTAGTGGTAGGTCAATGATATTTGGTATGCAGTTGTATAAGCATTGGCATATCTCATTTCCATGGAGATTATTTGGCCCCTCCCCCTCAGTTATGGTCTATTGACTTTTAAACTTTTGCTTCGTTTACATGTATTATGGATGGAGAGTTGTCTCACTGGCACTCATACCACATCTTCTTATATCTATTAGTTTGTGATTAGGTCAGTTTAAGATGAACTACTAATGTTAAGTCAATTATATTTGGTATGCAAATGTATTGGCATTTGCAAATTTCATTTCCATGGAGATTATATAACCCCACACCCTCATTATGGTTCATTGACTTTGAAACTTTTACATAGTTTACAAGTTAATGTTTGTGTTTGTTTAAAGGGAACGACTTATGAGATTTCAGTTGTATTTGGTATACAGTTGTATTAGTATTGGCACATCTCATTTCATTTTTTGGGCCCTTAATAGCTTGCTGTTAGGTGTGAGCCAAGGCTCTGTGTTGAAGGCCGTACTTTGACCTATAATGGTTTACTTTTACAAATTGTGACTTGGATGGAGAGTTGTCTCATTGGCACTCATACCACATCTTCTTATATCTATTAACTTAATGTTAATTAAATGAAGTTTGAAAGCACAGCTACTTATTCTAATTTCAAGCAATTTTATGAGCTTACTCCTTTGTGAAGTTTAAATAAAAAAAGTTTTTCTTTTTCTTTTTTTCATAAAAAATATGATGCAGTCTGGTAAATCCACCCACATAAGGCTTTGATCGTATGTATTTCTGCTTAATTATATACAAATTGTATCAAATTTAATATAAATCGATTCACTGACAAATCAACTTTGAGTAGTTTATCTCATTTCCCCAAAATATCTGAAATAAATTTTAAAATCAACAAAACAAGTGGGTCATCCGTGTTTTTATCGGAAATGTGTTTGTCCAGTAAATCCGCCCATGCGCAGTAAATATGTATGGAGGGCCAGTTTATCACAAATTTATGAAAGGAAAAGGTGATCTATTTATTAATAGACCACTTATAAAGGGATTCCAGATAATCCAGAAAAAATTTCAGAAAGTCAGAAATGAGTTTTGTAAGCAATAATATGATAATGTTAGCTTTAGGAACTGTATTATATATGTCACTAGATATTTTCGTACTAAAGGATTTTTCTTTAAAATTTGACATGCAGTGATGATAAGTACAGTTCCTATGAATAAAATAGCAGACGAAATATTCACAGAAGTGACAATTACGGAAGAAATGGGAGTGGGCGTGTTTACCGGACGGTTGGAATTACCGGACACTACTGTATGTCTGATGATTCTCTCTGCTGACCAATATGGCAGCCATGGCTAAAAATAGAACATAGGAGATAAAATGCAAATAAATCGTGTAATATTTTAAAACCCGTTATAGATATAGAAAACCTGATACACCAGAAATGTTAGAATGTCAAAATCTACCTACTGTCCATTTTGACCAAAACTGTGAGGAGTTACTGCTCTTAAATGATGATTTTTACCAATTTTTTTGTGTTTCTGTTAATTGGGTATTTTAATTTGTAGTACTCATATTCATTTGTAATCTGTCAGTCAAGCAAATGTATGTTGTTTACACCTTTAACAATACAATAAGGTGATTTTTTCACATGTATTTTCCCATTCATTGAAATTTATACACAGTGAACATTTTACCTTCCCATTTTGTCATCAAATCGTGAACATAAACAGTATACAGTATTTTATAACTTTAGTTATTCAGATATAAATTTACCTTTTATGTTTTCTATAATTTTGGTTCAAAAAGATAAATATGAAACTGAACATGCAAAATGCAAGGATTTTCACACTTATCTTTTATCAGAAAATATAGAAAGAAATCAGTCACAATGTGATACTGAGGAGGTCAAACCAGTTAATAAATGGTCAGTGGAGGAAGTATGTAAATGGTTGGAAGAGATTGGACTAGAGCAATATAAATCTTCATTTGAACAGAATGCTATTGATGGTACAGAGTTAGAAGTTATAACAGATAGTATGTTACAACAGATTGGTATAGGTATGTAACATAGAAATTATAACAGAAAGTATGTTACAACAGATTGGTATAAGTATGTAACTTGTTACTTTATATATGTAGTATGTTACAACAGATTGGTATATGTATGTAACTTGTTACTTTATATATGTAGTATGTTACAACAGATTGGTATATGTATGTAACATGTTAGATTCTATGTTACAGCAGATTGGTATATAGGTATGTAACTTGTTACTTTCGATAGTATGTGATAACAGATTTTGGTATAGGTATGTAACATGTTAGATCATGTGTTACAACAGATTGGTAACATACATATATTTTTGGGGTAAAAATTGCATTCAGGCAATAAAAACCCTCATGTGGTTCGAGATTTTTTCACTATTAATATACACAAAACATAGTGCATTGATCACAAAATTTATTACAGCCTACCTATGAAAATGTCATGAAATTTATCATTGAAATATATACTCAGATACTCAAGTTACAAAATTATGTATATGTTTATAACCATATTTGTCAACAAAAATACATAAATTGTGCATGGTGTTAATATCTGTTTCAAAAATATCAATGTTGTCATGTTAAAGCAATATTTAAAATTTGAGTTATCTTTCTTTATATATATAATTGTTGTTTAACAACTACAATATAGTTTTGCCTTCCAATGCTTAATGCATTGCAATGTTTAATTTTTAGTTTCCACTGCAAAATGAATGCAATCTGTGCTTCAGTGCTAACAAGTGCTTTGATTAATTTTTCCCAATAAAAATACTTAGCTAACAAATTTCCATAAAAATGAATTAAATGCTAGTGTGATCACTCTTTTCTAATTTTCCCTTGAAACTACTGTAAATTCAAAAATTTTGGGAAAATAATCATTTCTATGAAAATGCAACAGGCAAAGTGTCACATTTAAAAAACTCGCATTAATTTAAACTCACCATTTAAATTTGATATTTACATGCAGAATCCCTGAAATTGCATTAATTAGTCAAATTGTTTTGTGCCCACGTGCACTGATGAACAATCTCAAATATGACAGACCCTTATAATTACTTACTTATAAACGAATTTGTAAATTTTCAGCTAAAATCCTGATCTTACATCTTATATGCAATACTATACACTGAGTTACCTATAATCAGGAGTAAATTTTACCTGGAAAATTTTGACTGTTCAGATTGATGCTGTCATACTGAGTGCTATGGAAATAATTTATTAAAGACTTCAAATCAAATTTGAAGCAGGAAAGCCTTACGCTATTAAGCTACATATGATAAAAACATCCAGGAGAAATTTATTTCATTCAAATTACTTGCCTGTGTAATTACAATTATTATATACCCATTAAAGGACTGGTACCCTTATCTGTCCATTCAGCATAATTGGCTAAGTACTTTCCCTAGAAAACATTGAAAATGTGTGATTTCCCATAGGATTTCAACAAGAGCTATGTGCCTCCACTGCTGCCATGTTTGTCACCTGACCAACATTAAATGAGGATCTTCTGTAAAGGGTCTTCCAATCAACGATCAAGTTCAAATTTCAAGTTCAATTGATGTTAGTAAAGTATTTTTGTAAATTGGCCAATTAGAATCAAAATTTCCTCTGACAACCATGTTTTTCAGCTGATGGAAACAAAAGGATGAATTTTTTTATAAAGACCTTTCATATCTTATTCTTGAAAAGTTTGGTTCAAATTTTCATGGTTGTTTCAGAGCACGTGTGGTCTCTATTTAAAAATTTTGGTACAGATGTCCGGCTGGAGTTTAAACCCCCTTCCCCCACCCCCATTCATATATTTAATTATGTGAAAATTCTCTACCCATTCATATATATTTCATAGGAAAATTGCACCCCATTGATATATTTGATATTCCAAAAAAGTGACCCATACCAGTGGCACATCTGTGTACACTTTTATATAGGAAGAGACCCCCCTGTGTCAGAGGAGCTGGTGAATATGAAACTTTTTCTAACAAACAAATGACTAACAGAAGATTACAAGTGAAAATGTATTTGGAGAATGGCATGTGATCATCAATCATAGACAAGTGTCCTTACCAATATTACCATATATTAAGCACTAAATTATCTAGAATTTAGCTAGACAGGAGAGTCTACCAAAGTACTGCTTTCAATACCAAATTAACACCAAATCTCAATTCTTTTTCAGTTATAGGACTTTTTATAGCTTCAATCAATTTATTAAATGATTATGATATATTTGTGTGATACGATCTGTATGTTTCTCTTTCAGATGCAATGGGGCATAGAAATAAAATTTTACGGGCCAGGAAAATTTTGCAACAAGGTGGATCAGTGAAATTGGTAAAAGATGCTAATCTGTTGGGTAAGTGGAATAGTAAACTTTTGAGTATGTCCTTGAATGGTATTATATATATTGTTCATGGAATTTTTCCAAGTTGTATAAGTTTATGAGTTGTATCCTGAAATTTTTTCAGTTTCATAGTGTTTCCATTGCCCATTCTCCTAAAAATCAAATGGTTACTCCATGAGACTTGGTTAAATGCTTACACAAGCAACAACAAAATAATAAACATTTTCACAGCAGAATCTGTTATGTAATGGGTTACTTACAGCAAAATGCCTTGAGTGTGTAGGTAAAGGTAATATCTTTGGTTAGCTTGCTTGCTAGCTGAACTGTGAAATCATTAATAGGTAAGGTATACTACCCTCCTTTCGGAGTAGTGTAGTCCTACAGACAGATAGATTGGTTATCTGTCGGACTAGTCTACTATTAAAGGAGGGTATTATACCTAACTTAATAATGACTTCACGGTTCAATTGTCAGTTTGATAGGAAGTACTTGTGATAGGTAAATGATATTTTCTATAAAGTTGCATTACTATTACTATCGGAACATCTCATTTTGACAACTATTTTGAGGCCCTACCCCCTAGGTCATGGTCCAGTGACTTTGAATTAATAAGCAATTTTCAGTGTTATATTTTCTGCTTAAGTTAGATTGATAAGAACTTCTAACAATAGCCAACTATATTTTCTATAATGTTACATTATTGCCTGTACAACTCAGTTTGTCGACCATTTCGAGGCCCTCCCCACTAGATCATGGTCCAGCGACTTTGAATTATTAAGCAATGTTGCTGTCCATCAGACTGTCTTTTTCTGAATTTTATGCCAACAGGGGAGACATATCTCTGTGTCAACAGTTTATTAAGCATAGAAACAACTTTTGGAAAAGCAAGGGAATGTTGGTTTTGGATATTGGAAGTGTACTGATTGAAATTTAATCTTAGATAAATGATATTTTTATTAGTTATTATTGGCTTTGAACTAGCTTTCAGTAACTGTGAGTACTCTCAGGTCTTTTGTGTTATGTTATTTTTTTTGTGCTTTATATGTATCTGAGGAGTTTCAACTGATTTTTATACGACCGCAAAAAAATTTTGTGGTCGTATATTGGTATGACGTTGGCGTCGTCGTCGTCGTCCGAATACATATTGGTTTTCGCACTCTAACTTTAGTTTAAGTGAATGGATCTTTTTGAAATTTGACCATAAGGTTAAATACCACAAAAGGAAGGTTGGGAGAGATTTTGGGGGTTATGGTACCAACAGTTAAGGAATTAGGGGCCAAAAAGGGGCCAAAAATGAGCATTTTCTAGTTTCCAGACAATAACTGTGGAACGGTGTATGGATCTCTCTGAAATTATACTACAAGTTTCCATACCACAAAGGGATGGTTAGGATTTGTTTTGGGGGGTTATGGCTCAAACCGATTAGGAATTAGGGGCAAAAAAGGGGGAAAAACAAGGTTGTCCTGGTTAATGGACAAATACTTTAGTACAAAACATAATTTAAAGCAGTGTAAGGGAGATAAATCAAATACATCATTGAAATTATCTCCCTTACACTGCTTTTAAATTATGTATAAAGTAATGGTTAATGAACAATAAAGATAATCTAAAACAGTGTAAGGGAGGTAATCCAAATACAACATTTGGTTACTTCCCTTACACTGCTTTTAAATTATGTTTAAAGAAATGCATATTTATAAAGGAAGACCAGTAAAAATATCTGCAAATGTTTTCATCTTTTTTTTTTTACAAAAAAATCCATATGAAAGATTTGACACTATATTTTTATTAATTCTATTATAAAATAGATTAAGTTAGCACTATGGTAAATTTAAATGGGTAATTATGGTTGCCAACTCCATTGGAAATTTGAATTGAGATTATGACCATATCTTGAGGGAAAGAATTTTTTGGGGGGAAAAAGGGGGGGGGGGATAAAAAGAAATTGTGGGGGGCCAATTTTTTCTCATTTCAGATTTCAGAAATTAAAAAGAATTATTCTTCAAATATTTTTTTTTTTTTCAAATTTCAAATATTGAAAAATTTCAAGAAGTAATCTTTAATTGCACAGTATGGCGCATTAGATTTGTAAAATCTTTGATCACATTTATTTATTTGTTATGCCGAATCTAACAGTGTATTTAGATTTTTAATTTTGGGTCCAGTTTTCAAATTGGTCTACATTAATGTCCAAAGGGTCCAAAATTAAACTTTGTTTGATTTTAGCAAAAATTGAATATATGACGTTCTTTGATATGCTGAATCTAAACATGTATTTAGATTTTTGATTTTTGGCCCAGTTTTCAAGTTGGTCCAAATTGGGGTCCAAAATTAAACTTTGTTTGATTTCAACAAAAATTGAATATATGGGGTTCTTTGATATGCTGAATCTAACCATGTATTTAGATTTTTTATTTGTGGACCCCGTTATCTAATTGGTTCATATTGAGGTCAAAAGGGTCCAAAATTAAACTTTGTTTGATTTCATCTAAAATTGAATTATTGGGGTTCTTTGATATTCCAAATCTAACCGTGTATTTAGGTTTTTAATTTTGGGTCCTGTTTTTTAAATTGGTCTACATTGAGGTCCAAAGGGTCCAAAATTAAACTTAGTTTGATTTTAACAAAAATTGAATTCTTGGGGTTCTTTGATATGCTGAATCTAAACATGTGTTTAGATTTTTGATTATGGGCCCAGTTTTCAAGTTGGTCCAAGTTGGGGTCCAAAATTAAACTTTTTTTGATTTCAACAAAAATTGAATATATGGGGTTCTTTGATATGCTGAATCTAACCATGAATTTAGATTTTTTATTTGTGGGCCCCGCTATCAAATTGGTTCATATTGAGGTCAAAAGGGTCCAAAATTAAACTTTGTTTGATTTCATCAAAAATTGAATTATTGGGGTTCTTTGATATTCCAAATCTAACCGTGTATTTAGATTTTTAATTTTAAGTCCCGTTTTTCAAATTGGTCTACATTAAGGTCCAAAGGGTCCAAAATTAAACTTAGTTTGATTTTAGCAAAAATTGAATTCTTGGGGTTCTTTGATATGCTGAATCTAAACATGTGTTTAGATTTTTGATTATGGGCCCAGTTTTCAAGTTTGTCCAAGTTGGGGTCCAAAATTAAACTTTGTTTGATTTTAACAAAAATTGAATATATGGGGTTCTTTGATATGCTGAATCTAACCATGTATTTTGATTTTGGACATTGGACCATAATAGGTAAATTAAAAAAATTCAAGTTCTTAGACCACATTCTTTCTGTGTCAGAAACCTATGCTGTGTCAAATATTTAATAACAATCCAAATTCAGAGCTGTATCAAGCTTGAATGTTGTGTCCATACTTGCCCCAACTGTTCAGGGTTCGACCTCTGCGGTCGTATCAAGCTGCGCCCCAGCGAAGCATTTTATTATAGTTTTGTTCTTATGATGCCCCAGGTTAGGGGGAGGGTTTGGCATCAGCAAACATGTTTAAACCTGCCATATTCTGTATGTGCCTGTCCCAAGTCACGAGCCTGTAATTCAGTGGTTGTCATTTGTTGCTGTATATCATATTTGTTTTTCGTTTATTGTTTTGTACATATATCAGGCTGTTAGTTTTCTTGTTTGAATTGTTTTACATTTGTCACTTCAGGGCCTTTTATAGCTTACTATATGGTATGGGTTTTGCTCATTGTTGGAGGCTGTACGATGACCTATAGTTCTTAACTTCTAGGTCATTTGGTCCCTGTTGGAGAGTTGTCTCATTGGCAATCATAATTAATCTTCTTATTTTTATATAGGAGAGGACAGAATTTGATTTTGTCGAGTTTTTTAAAATTATTTGTTAAAATCTGAAAATTCTTCTTATTTTTATATATTTTCCCACAAATAAGTTGCTAATACTGTAATATAAAACATTCTGTAGTTCAGAGTTGCATGTTTCCAACAGATGCCCTATTTATGATATTTGTATTTGATAGATGTTGGTGTACCTGATGAGTTTTTGTGTCCCATTACTAGGGAGGTTATGAAAGACCCTGTTATAGCTGAAGGTATGTAACTAGCTTTGTTATTTCTGAGTGAGGTTAGTATTATCAGTGCAACTACAACTAAACCACTGCATATATATTGGTTAAAATGCTATTGTTCACCTTTCATTTTAAAATTCTTCAAGATTCTTATGGATTATATGGTAACAAAATAAATCATTTCATGTTTATTATACATGTTTCCCCTTTCCCATAAGGAAGAAATTTGTCACATTCCTGAATTTGCATTGAATCTCCAACATAAAACAAACGGGCCAAAATTTCCTTTATTAATCTCCAGCATAATCTCCAATTACCAAATGTTAATACATTTTAGGTATTTAGCTGTAATTGTTAATTTTCATATAGAATGTTATGAAATAGGTTTTTTTTTCTTACATTGGAAACAGCTTCCGTTTCTTTGAAACAAAACTTTCCTGAAGTAGTTAAGAGTAGTTTAATCTCATTAACAAAGTAAGCTGATTTCAGATATTTTGATGCAGGTTGGAAGCTAATCAGTGAATTAGAGTTGTCTCCTTTTGCCCATAAATTCTCTATTGAATAATACTCCATTTGTTTATTTGAATTACAGTAGTGAACACTCTCAAACTGGAATCAGAGTCAAATTCAGTACCTTTTAGCCAATTAATCCTTTTCTGATCATATATTATATCAATTTTCCTAGTTGATATATGTAAATGTTATTGTGATGGAATGAAAAATAAATGTCACCATGCTTATTATCTTTCCAAAAGAATGCCAGTTTCTCCAAGTTTGACTACATGTTATTGAAATATTATTTCAAAAAGTGCATCTCATTGCATACCATATTTCTCAATCTCAAGTTCCAAATATGTCAAACACCTATTGTTTTTTTCCTGTGAGATGTATTTAAATTGATTATTTGTGTTGTTGGGTTCCTGTCTCATTAAAATATACCCAAATTTTATTCATATTTAATATTTATGTGTGTACTTTTTCACAGAGTGCCATGGCAAGTTTATATTCTTGCTTCTAGTAAAGTGATTTAATGTAAATAAAATAGCTGGTTTGCTTGTTTAATTTCAGATGGTTATACATATGAAAGATCTGCTGTTGCTGGATGGATGGAGAAAGGAAAAACTACTAGTCCAATGACAAATGGAACTCTTAATACAAAACAACTTACACCAAATAGAAGTCTTAAAATGTTAATACAACGATATCTGCAGGGTCAGTGACTCTGTGCTTCTAGTTCATAACCATGATTTTATATTCAGTCAAGAAGGATTTAGTCCTGTAATTTCATTGGAGGAATAAGTCTGTGCATTTCCTTGACATAATGTCACATGAATAGAACCACTAGAAAAACCGTAGGACTGCATCATAATATTTTGCTGTTTTGAGAGTCTGCAATCTGAAGCTGATTTGATATATCTTGTACTGTTTTAATATTTAAATGAAATTTGTCCTGCTCAATGATGTGCAGTGTAGTTGTATACCATGTTATTATATTTCCTTCTTCCTCATTTTATCATTCTTATGGAGTGTTTTTAATTTCTATGCTACTGCAATATGTAAATCATAGTGGAAGATTCCCTTCTTATGGAAAAGAAGACTTGCAAAAACTTTTTTCCGAAAAGATTTAAACAAGCAGAAAAATTTGTTGCAGTGTGCAAAGTACAACTTTTTTTTTCGATTTTATGGAATTGTAAAGACCAATATGTTTATGATTTTTCTTTGCCCTCCAAAAGATTTATTTAATTTTCTTACTGGAAATTGGGGATACATTCATATTTTTGCCCCTAACTCTTTGTCATCCTTGGACTGCCTCTTGGTTTAATGACACATTAGTTGTAATTTTAAGAGTATGTATGTGCTGGACTCCAGCTCATTTCCAGTTGGTCATCCGAGTTCAAGCATTTAATGGTTTGGTTATGTCCAAATTCTGAATTACGGGTTCACCTGAAAATTTCCCAGAAAAAATTAACTATATATTTAAATGACCACAAGTTGATACTGATAAGAATTTGCAAGGATTTCCAATTTAATTAATTGATTTTATAACTCAAAATAATATATCAGAGGGTTTGAAATGACAAAATTAATTTGGATATAATTCGGTTTTTTTCACAAAACTTAATACTTGTGACCACACATTGCTGCAATGAATTTTTCTTTGTTACTGTGGATTCATAATTATTTGTTGAATACCAATTCGTGGATTTTGTGGGTACAGTGAGACCATGAATTTAAACGTTCAACGAATTACAAATTTTCTATAAGAATATATGCAGACTTTATAAAAACCACGAAATTAAATATCCACGAAAATGCAAGTTTTCCTCAATCCACGAAAATTGGTACCAATGAAAATAAATGAATCCACAGTACATTAATAGATTACTTTTCCTGACATCATCTTTATGTCTTCCATCATGAAGGTTAGGAGACATGCTTGTTTCTGATCAGCTCCACATATATTATATCACAGAAGCATGTCAAATAAAACTTTACTAAGGATTATAAAGGAATTAAATTATTATTATTATTATTTCAAGGCATTTTTAAAGCGCATTATATAACACTACAATTACTCTAAGCACTTTACATGTTAAACAAAAAATATATACACAAATTCGTACATACACCAAATTACAAAGTAAAAAAATATGTTTAAAAGCATACAAAATTCAAATCAAATATAAAAAATTAAGACTCTTAAAACCTCACCAAATTGGTTAAAAATATGGATTAAAAGAATTATCAATGAATTAGTAAAAATCTCAAAAATTATTGTCTAAACTAAATAATATAAATGGACTTAGAATTTGAATAGTCATAGACACTATTTGACAAAATTTCGTATGTAAAGTGAATGTGTGCACTTCCATATTTTTTGTTTTAATGAGATTGATTTCACTTCACATAAGTTAAACTTGACAGAATGCATTTTTTTGACTGATAACCGTTAGAACGTATTTTGTATAAATACACGGATATTATCAAGTGCAAAATAACAATCTTTATCGCTTGTTATAAATTCATTTCTTCAATGAATACTTATGAAAATATTTTTTAAGGACATAAATAAATAATATGAAATTGTTTTGTCATGAGAAAAGTGAAAAATATCATTAATATATATGCACACGTACCGAAAAATTGTGTTTGCGGATGAATATCTCTTATTGCTTGTTATATATTAATTCCATCAATACATATTCTTTAGTGGGAGAAATATGAATGCCTACTCAAATCAAACCTATTAGAAAAACGAATTATTACAGAAGAGTGTCCACCATGCACTTGCACTGCACTATCATTAGAATAGTAGAATAGAATGATGGTATAAATGGATGAAAATTTGGCGGTAGAGTTATTTAGATGATCTGCTATATATATAACTGTTGTACAAATATTAATATTATATATAACAACAAACCAGATTATACTGATAACAAATTATTGTCCCATGATTATATCACTACAATATAATAATTATTACGGTGAGGTTGAATTCTCTGTCACTTATTCATCATCCACATAGGAGCTTGTCTTAGAAAAAAAAAATAAAATCTATGTACCTTAACCTAACTTTCAGGTATAGAGATATTTTATTTTTTCTGAGACAAGTGCCTGTGACTATCCACCACAACTTGTGGTCATCCGATGTTCAGTACTTCAGTACTTTGATTTATTTTACCATATAATAATTGTCGAAGTGTACAAATAAAACTTAAAACTTGAAAAACTTGATTAACAAGTTTGATTAAATTCATGTTAAAAAATTAATGTAAGAAAGAAAATGTCTATAGAAGTGATTTTTTTCTTATATTGTAACTGTCATAATCAGTATAAAATATATTTGTGTTAAGTTTGGTCTACTGTTCTCTTAAATGCATAATCAAATATAATGAGTCATGTAATTGTATGTATATTTTCTAAGCATGGGGTTCTCCCCTTTAGTTAACAACTGTCCTAAAGCGCTTTCATAAATAAAATATTTGGTACTTCATTATACAATTATTGACTTTTGATGAGGTGATACAATAATTTATCAACTGCGGAGATATGATATTCACCGAGGCCAACAATTGTTTTACATGTATTATATTTCTTTTTTATTCATCTCCAATTTCTAGTATTTACTCAAGATATTAACTGCTCCTCTTATACTTAATATATTTTCTGCTTTGGCAGTTGCTAAACTTTTAAATTCTTGTTGAAATATTCAATAATACTTATTAAAACAAAAATTAAATCAAAATAAAGAAGAAGAAAAATGAGAATTTGTATGACGTAATAAGCCTTTGTTATTTGATGTTGCCCAAGAAAAACTATTTATAGGTACATGTTGGCTGTTCCAAATCTTATATTAACCTCTAATGACTTTTCTGCAGCGGTGAATATAACGTTTTATCATAAAGGATTTTCTATGTTTTTAGCCATGAGAAAAGAGAATTTTTATAGTCATATGATAAATAAAAATAGGTTGTGTTTCAATGGACCATTAATAATTTTCTTATGTCAGAGTAAATAAAGCGCTTTTATGATAAAGCAAAATTTCAGTGCTTTTAGTTGTGATCATTTTAGAATGTAATCCTTAAGGTTATGGTTTATACCAATAAGTATTTAATATACTCCTTTACATGAAGTTTTCATTATTATTTCAAAAGCTCCATTTGATATGTACTTGACAAACCCCACCTCACTAAAAGTCTGAAAATAAAGCAAAATCCCCCAAAAAGACAAATTTCAAACTTGATATGTCTACGTAGAATTTAAGATTTTCTTCACCTTAATGTTCTAAATTATTTTGTATAGTTCCTTGAAAAATAGTGTGATATTTGTTTATTTCCTATAGAAAATTTTTATGACTGTGATTTCCATTGTTGAATCTTTATAAGTATTCATGAATAATTTACAGTTGTAAATATATGGATAGATATGTTGTAATGTTTTTATATTAATTGTTGAATGTTTATGGAAAATTAAAAGATTAAACATATCAATGGCTCTGTAATAGACTTCTGACATTATATAACATTCAAATCCCTTTCCTAAGTTTTTATAACCCTTGGTCATGCACAGAGGTTAAATACTTGTATGTTATGGAATAAGATAATGACAAATATTATTCGCATAATAGATGGTATGAGGTTTCAAATAAGGTCAAGAAACAGCAAATTGGTGATGTCACAGATTTTTTATCTTTGTAAGATTTTGAATTCCACTTTGAATAAGAGTCAATTACCATTCCGCTATTTTGTGGTGCCTTATCACTTGCTGTAACTTTTTAACTTATTGTCTAGGAGTAACACGACGGGTGTTGCATGTGGAGCAGGTTCTGCTTACCCTACTGAGGCACCTGAGATCACCACCGGTTTTTTATGGGGTTCCTGTGGCTCAGTCTTTAGTTTTCTATGTTGTGTTTTCTGTACTGTTGTTGGTCTTTTGGTCTTTTTTTATGCCCCCGCCGTAGTGGTGGGGGCAATAAGTTTTACCCTTGTCCGTCTGTACGTCCGTCCGTACGTCCCAAAATTGATTTCCGTTCTCTAACTTAAGTTTGCCTCAACCAAATGTTATGAAACTGATACACAATGCTAATTACCACAAAACACAGATCAAGTTTGAATTTTGGTGGCGTCACTTTAACCGTTCTACAGTTATGCCCCTTTATAAATGGAAAAATTGCAAAATTTTTAGTTTCCGTTCTCTAACTTAAGTTTGCCTCAACCAAATGTTATGAAACTTATACACAATGCTTATTACCACAAAACACAGATCAAGTTTGAATTTTAGTGGCGTCACTTTAACCGTTCTAGAGTTATGCCCCTTTATAATTGAAAAAATTGCAAAATTTTTATTTTCTAAATATAATTATTTTTAAAATTGGAGTTATCTTCCTTTGTCCATGATTAATTGAATCAACTACAATCAATGCTTTATACAATGCAATGTTTAATTTTGACTTCCACTGATAAAACACAGATCAAGTTGAATTTGGGTAGTGTCACTTTAACCATTATTGAGTTATGCCCCTTTATAAATTGAAAGATTGCAAAATTTTATGAAACATTATGAAACCTATACACAATATTCATTACCACAAAACTAAGATCAAGTACAAATTTTTTGTTTCCTTTTTTGTAATTTTAGTTTGCCTCAACCAAATGTTATGAAACTTATACACAATGCTTATTACTACATAATACAGATTAAGTACGAAATTTGGTGGCGACACTTTTACCATTCTTGAGTTATGTCCCTTTAAAAACATAAAAATTGCTGAATTTTTTCGTTTCCGTTCTCTAACTTGAGTTTGTCTCAACCAAATGTTATAAAACTTATACACAACCGTTCTAGAGTTATGCGTGTTTACAAATAGAAAAATTGCTGAATTTCTAGTTTCTGTTCTCTACTTAAGTTAGCCTCAACCAAATGTTATGAGACTTACACACAATGCTTATTACCACAAAACTCAGTTCAAGTTCAAATTTGGGTAGCGTCACTTTTACCGTTCTTCAGTTATGTCCCTTTACAACTATATGATATGCAAGCGGGGGCATCATCTGTGTCCACATGTGGACACTATCCACATTTATTTTATTTTTTTGCCATGGTGTTGTCAGTTTATTTTCGACTTAGGAGTTTAAATGTTCCTTTGGTACTTTCGTCTCTCTTTGACATGTTAGCCTTATATGGAAGATAGAAAAAATATAATAATTAAACTGTTTTATTTGCTTTAATATGATTGAAAGAAAATTCTTGAAATAGAGGCACATTTGTAAAGAATGAAAAATAACCTGGTGAAAAATATCTTTCAGTTCTCTTTAATTCAATGGATAGACTTATTAAATAAGGAAAACATTAAATTGCTGTTGGTCATTTGATATTTTTATGCTCTGGCAATAAACAATGGGGGCCTCGGTGGCAGAGTGGTCTAAGTAATTACTACTGTAATCACTAGCCAGTCAACACTGAGGTTGTGAGTTCGAACCCCGCTCGTGCAGATGCACTCGACTCCAATCTTAATTGACTAGGATTGTCAGTTTTCCTATCGAAGGTCGGTGGTTTTCTCCGGGCACTCCGGCTTCCTCCACCAATAAAAACTGTCCGCCACGAAATAGCCCAAAAGTGGCGTTAAAACACCAAAAATCAATCAAAATCAATAAACAATGAAGGTTGACGAATATTAATTTACCTTGTCAGTCCATCTGACTGTCCACATTTAGGGTATATGGTTTGTCTGTTGAACTTTTCTTGCAGCATTGTTATAATCCTACTTCAAATTATACCTAGCAAGGGCTATATTGATTTTGACCTGTATGTCAGTCATTTTCGGTTCTGGATGCTAACTTGAATACTATATATCTGAATGCAACCTTACCTGGCAATATGGTTACAAACGAGAGGAAATTCCTATATATTTAGAGTTTACCAGGTCAACTACCAAGGTCATAGTTACTATAAATAGACCGAAATATGTGCAAAAAGAGGTTTGAAATACAATATTAAAAACTACATATGGGATTGCAGTCTTACTTGCTTATATGGTCACAAATACTGAGAGGAATATCCCTATTGATTTTGATTTCAATATCTCCATGGTCAAGGTCAAAGTAACTATATAAAATAGACTGCAATTTGTGCTGGAAAGTATTTTCAAAATGAAATTTGTGCAGAAATGTGGTTAATGGATGCTAAATGAAATACTACATATGGGATTTCAACCTTACATGGATAAGAACACTCACTTAGTCCGATTTTTAGAGGCCAAATTTAGGCTTTCATTGCCCTACTCCTTGTGAAATTCTGTGTCAAAAACTTTTCTAATTTTTATGCTCCAATTGCATAAGTACTAGTTACATGATTTATTTATATATATATATGGGGAACTACTAGTGGTAAGTCAATGATATTTGGTATGCAGTTGTATTAGCGATGGCACATCTCATTTCCATGGAGATTATTGTGCCCTGTCCTCCGAGTCATTGTCCATCGACTTTGAAAATTTTGCTTAGTTGCCATGTAGTAGTTTGTGATTAGGTCAGTTTATTGGGAACCACTAGTGGAAGGCCAATGATATTTGGTATGCAGTTGTATTAGCATTGGCACATCTCATTTCCATGGAGATTGTTAGGCCTTGTACCTTAACTCATGGTTCCTTGACTTTGAATATTTTGCATAACGTACATGTTAAAGTCTTTGAAAGTATTGCTATTTTAATTTCAATATTTGCATTTTACTACCAAAATAACAAAAAGGCGGGACATATCTCTGAGTTAAAAGTTTATTTATTTTTTGGGCGAACAAAAGAGGATGTAAGAACCTCTACGCCCCCCCCCCCCCCCCTGACACACACACATAAACCTACATGTATAAGTTTTAATGACGCTTTAACTGATCAGGTTTCGTAAGGTTGTTGAAAGAACGCCATTGCTTTACACGCTATCCAGCACTTGCTCCATTATGTATATAAGTGCGATATCAAAGTCCGTCTGATTGATTCATTTGTATTTATTAGCAATTTGATGATAATAGCTTAAGACATGTGTTACCTCTGGTCGGGCTTACTGTTGTATTTACATAAATATGCTGACAAACTTTTTCTTTTCATAGGTCACTAGTTTCAAGCTATCCTACAATATATCATACTACAATTCTCGACACTATAACTATAGTCAATAGATCTATAGTTTTAGTGACAACATGTCGTCTCTAACAGTGGTATTTTGAATTCATCCGTCTATCCTCTAATCACCAATACTTCGAACGATTTTTTTCTTCAAGTGATGTGCCTGTAATATTGACTGCTGGACCGACTGGACGTAAAGGGGCTATCATCAGTTTGAAAGTTTGGTATTGATTCCGGATCTTTGATAGTTACAGATTAAGTTGATTACCGTGAACTTTGATAGAATTGGAACGATTTAGCGCTTGTCATTTTTCTATTATTGAAGACCATATGTTGCCCTCAAATTCACTGGTGTTAAACTGATCGTGGTAACTGCAGTTATCACAATGTTACCACGATCCCAATATGGCGGAGGTAGAAATAGGTGAAATCTTTGTCTGCTAATTTCTCCGTGTAAACTTGTTGTTTTCAAGAATTACTCAGCGTCAGGTTGATCTGTACGGTATTGTTGTGTGTGTGTGTGTGTGTATGGCCTCGTTACCAAAATAATAGCCATCGAAAATTTTAGGAAGATAATCGTAACTCCAAACGAAGATAATCGTAACTTGTGGACAAATAACTAGAAAGATAATCGTAACTGTAGACTATTTCTATGATAACAGTAACTGATTTTTATCAGTAACCTCTGATAACGATTATTTGATAAAAGATTGCGTCATAATAACAACGAACGCGATAGTGCTATATCATTTTGTGTTCACCACCGTACCTCAATGGACGACTAAAATGTGGTATGAAATTATTATGCACACAACTTTTCCAATCATTCCAACACAGATTTGATCACTTTATTAGCATGAATTTAGATTTTTTTTACAAATATATGTATAGAATTGAATCATACATTTATTGTTGTCTAACTGTCAAAAGAGAAATAAAGAGATGTGGTATGATTGCCAATGAGACAACTATCCACCAGAGACCAAAAGACGTAGATGTAAGCAACTACGGGTAATTGTACGGCCTTCAACAATGTACAAAACTCATAGAGAAAGCTAGCGACAATCACTAAATTACAGGCTCCTGGCGTGGGGCAGGGGTATACAGAATGTAGCAGGGTTAAACATGCTTGTGAGCGCTCTCGTCCCCTTACCTGGGACATTAGTGTAAGAGCACAACACAAGAACAAACTATAAAAATCAATTGAAAAAAGGCTTAACGACTCATGAGATCGACACAAAGCAACAACAACAAAAAACTAAAGGAAACACTAAAGACGCAAAGTACAGATCTATGAGTTTTCACAGTTACTGAAAGCTATTTCAAAACTAACTACAACGTTTAAATAAATCATGCTTCCCAATTAAAAT